CACCTATTGTTCTATAATTGTGTCTACAAAACCGGTACTCGACGAGATAAAGGTAACACCTACTTTTAAACAGTTCCTTGTAATAAAAGGTGCCATTGTCTATAGAGATGCTTTAGAACCTGTACTAAAGCTCAGAATTTCGAGATTGAAACAATAATGTTTTGTACTACCAAGAGTCGAATCTAAGAGATCGTTTGGAATCACATCTCTCAATCAACAAGGTGGTTACTAAAATTACCGACTTCAATGAATCATGTAACTGTAAAATGAGCACTTTTCGCACGTTGTTGATACCTACCTAGGTACTTTGTAATCTGAAGTGTTTTAGTCATCAACCTTCAATTTATCAATCATTCAGTTATCACGTAATTAATAAAGCTGCCAAGTGCATCTGCACTGGATATAAGTTTGTTATTCCATAATATGTAACAAAACATTACGCGTATCTTATTCCAAAAGAATTGTGAATTCCATTCGTGCTGAATGTGAAGATATTGTTTTCTACATGACCGTAAACCCAAATAGGTCCGTAACCATGAATATGCTCTTGATAATTTTGTTGTTATGAGAAAATTCGTTTATCTTTTACAAAAGGTCAGAACTCATTGATAGAAAATCTTTCAGCAGCTTTCAGTAGTTGGTATTACGAATAGAAACTTCGTACTAGACTTGACAAAATGTCCGAAATTAGTAACTAATCTTTAAATTTAGATCGATTTTAAAGAGTTTCTATTATAATTCGAGAGATATTCGCCGTAAGAAGAGAAGAATAAATCGGTAAATTGATAGTATAACATTACCTGAACTAAATAATACAGCATGCACATGATTTCGCCTACATTATGTTCCGATGGATCGTATCTGCCAGCTCGGATGAGCAGCACTCGAGGACACAGCTTGCCTTTCGGATTTGGTAAGATTAAACATGTTCTGAAATAAGGAGAAATAAAATAGTTAATATTTTTAATAATATTGACCACTACATCAGTAATTGTTAGAATTATAATTGAATTGGAAGAATTTCGCGCGCTTTCTACCTCTGTCAATAGTTCTTCATAGGTCAATGGTATCAGTTACACATTTGTCATTTGTTTCTGTTGGTTTCTTCTACATGAGATCGAATAGAAGCATGGTAAAAAAATACTTTCATTCGAATAAAATGGGAACACGATATAATGCTGACCTTATCATTTTGGGCCTGAGTTTGCCAATGTTTTAAATGTCAATGTTGATACTAAATAAAATTTTCTTACCCAAGTCTAAAGAATTCCAAAAACTTAGGATCTGTGGGTTTGATTCTAAGTGTAATTTCAGGTGCTGTAGTTCTGAGAGTGTAGTACAAATCTAGCTTCTTCTTAACTCTCTCTAGACTGAACTTGCATCCTCTTAAAAACGCTATGAGCCATTGGTCCTCTGAAATGTTAAAAACATAATTTAATTTTCAATAGTAAATACCTATAGTTAAGTCATCAAACAGCTCTAAAATTCTAAACGGGAAACATTATTTCTGGAATATTCGACTGCAAAATTACAAGCATTAGAATCATGTAACACAAAAGATTTAATTTTTATTCCGTGATTGCAATTATATCCTGACCATTAATTAGTTCCTTATTTTTGAACCGACATGAACATGTTAAATATTAATACGACGCAGGTTTTGAAGTATACATTCATGGCCACACAGTAAACGCTATTTATTATAAGCTTTACCTAACTACTATCGAGTAAATATAATAACCTATATTTGCATTAAGTATATGAGTTATTTGCATATTATATTCTGGTAAAACTGGTAAAACTACCACAAGAAGCATTTTCCTTGAAGTGATTAGTTATATACTAAAATTATGTGTTTGTTATCATTGTTTTAATGTAAAAATTGTATTAAACGATGTCTGTGAAAAACACAGATTAAGATCGAATTTCATATAGATAGTGTTATCGACTTATTTTAAAGAAAAATAGTATCATAACCATTGATATATAAGGTTTTTTATTTATCATTGATCGTACCACATCCGTGATGTTCGAATGAAAACATTCATGGTAAAAGCTACTTAGTGATAGGTGTAGTCAGTTTAATTGATAAATCATGAGCACAATTCATAGATAACTCTACAATATCGTTATATTGCCTTCGTTTTACTGCAAATTAATTCAATTTAGATAAGCTATTAGTTGCTACGACCATTAAAGATTTTGATAGTCGTTTAATATCAATGGAGGGCACATCTATCCCCAAACCTTATCTTTTCTCAATTAAATTTGCTGGCAGAACTGAATCTTGATCAGATTTAATTGAATCAAATTACTGGACTATTCCATATAAAATGACAAATACGTTGATTATTCATTTTTTTCCTGTTTTATCATAGAGTTTACAGTCAGTCGGTTGATAGTGTATAAAAGCCAGTTTTAATATCTAAACTGGCTATATATGAATGAAATTCATTACTACCTATGTTTTAATAAATACTTCCATGGCAATTATTGTAAAAACTGAAGGCTACACTTCAGTTTACGAGTGTAGTATTTGAGATTAGCTCCATGTATATGAAACACAAATAAACGCATTGTTACGATGTTAACTATACATGTTATTATTGTTCTACACTAACGCATTTCAAGCTAATCCAATCTGATCATTTTCTTCAACAGATTTTGGACTTAACGATAAAGTGGTAGAGTTGAAATTATATTTAAGGGTCTGCATACCTGTTCTTGCTTTCAGGTGTGGTTGTTTGGCAATCCAGTCCTTCAAATGTTGTAAATCATTGGCTATTTGCTTTGGGTTCTCGTTCAATTCCTTTTTGGCAATTTCAGCCAATTCTGGAGTCAGTTCACGTATCATTGTGATGTTGTTTTATTTCTGTGGACACACGAATTCACAATAACTATTTTGTTATTTAGGATATGAACGCTTATCTAAAGCTATATTTAACAAAACGTATACGACTGTAGAATAAGGAAATGAATGGAATACAGAGAATAAATATTTTTTACCCTATCCAATGAAATTAATAACAAAACACAGCACACTACCATATGCCTGAAACACGGTATTACACTAACAAATATCGAACAATCACAAAACGAATCCATTGTTCTAAGTAGTTTACATGGTCGAATCTAGACCAATGACTCTACAGAGCGACTTCTAATGATCGATCTAATGATGAGCGATGTTCATTATGGCAATTAATAACAAGCTATTTATCTATTAGCACTAGATTTCCACCTGCTTCTCGTATATTCAAGAATTATACAAATGGATCACTACTCGTTGAAAACAAATCACAAAAATTAGATTGTCTCGAATAGAACAGACTAGACAGGTGGGCAAAAAGAAGCGGTATAGTTTTAGTTTCAAATAGGGAAATAGTAAAAACTATTAAGTACCTACAATATACTACATTACACTTATGTTATTAGCTTTTTATAAAATTACACTAAATTCTATTGTGGATAATAGGAATAATAGCCATAACAATTTCGCGAGCAGATTAGCATGAATATAAAGTATGCTAAAATGAAAGATACGCCTTTATAGCCACATGTAATAGGAAAGTACTTAACACATAGATTTTGAAGATAACGACTATTGATTTCCTTCAACTATACATATAAATAATCTAGTTGCTAAATACCGCACCCAGTGTCTGAATATTAGACTAATTTTTAAGGACATTATTTAGAAGGTTAACTAGAAATATATAAGAAAAAGTATAACTTAGTACTTACATTGGCACCGCATTTGTTGAAAGTGATAGGAAGTGAGGCGATACGTACCTATCGTTCGGTGCACTGTCAGTACGGCCGTATCGACAAACTGATAAAGCGGTGAGTGTTATCACCACCACCGTTCCGACACGAAGCCAATATTATCCAATCAGGTGACAAGCACAATCTTTGTTCCAGTTCTATTGTAATTACCCAACATCCATGGAATCGGTGTTTGGATTGTCAATTTGACATAGAGTAAGTACGAATACAAGTAAGTAACCGCTGATTGGTGAACATTTTATACTAAATCTTACCTACTATACCTAATATTTAATTTAATATGACTTGAATTTTAGTTATTGAATTTAAAATTTTATATTCTTTTAAATTAGATTTAATCTATGATGGCGATGTAACGTAATATTTTCAAGAATTATTCAGCATGTATATTGACGTGCAGAAGAATCATCCGTTGGTAAGCAATCGGCGCGGCGCTTTCTACCTTCCTCGTTGCCCTTGAAATTGACTCTTTAAGAATTTCTCTTATCTCTAACAATATATTTAATAAAACAAAACAGATATTTTAGAAGTTCTATGGTAAAATCATCATCATCAGGTCAATCGGCGAATTAGGTTGATATGATTAAGTTTTTTCTAAGTGTGAAAGATAGTCACTTTTCAGTCCCCTAAATGAATAGGTATTGGAATGCTAAGTTTTTATTTCACAACTATAACCTATTTATCCGAACGCTAAGACTAAAGGCAATAAACCGAATCTTAATAGTACATTATTCACTTTATTATTCATCCTTCAACGTCGTCATAATCTTGTAATTGTACGGTGTTTGTTTAAGTATCATAATCAGCTAATTGTATGCCTATTCTTCCTCTTCACTTTATGACTGTAGGTATAGAATCATTAAACGTAACCTTAACATCAAGATTATCTTATTTTCAAGTCTAATCATCACACGTTGACACTTTTCTTACCCTATAACACTTCTTGAGTTAAAAGGTAACAAACACATACATCCTCACAAACTATTGCATTTATAATATTGGTAGTAGATTTTATTTATTTATTTAAACTTTAATGTACACAAAAACAAGTAATGGTATACGTACATAAGGCGGACATTAATGCCATATGGCATTCTCTCCCAGTCAACCTTAGGGTTAAATAGGAAAGGGATTTTGTTGTTGATTTCATAAAAATAAAATGCGCAGTAAAATTTTTCGAATTATATTAATCAAATCAAATTAGTTTATTGTTTTCAGTTAGGCGTATAACTATTTAGAAAGGTTTTTTAAATTATTTTAATCAAATCACATAAAATTATTTTCAGTTTGGCTAGCAAGTAAGCAATTATGTAGTATAAACAAAAATCAATTATAAAATTACTATAGTAGGTACTAGTATACTCATTAATCCACAGTTAATTGCCTAAAAGATCCTTGGACTCCGATCATATTTTCTGTAGTTTTTTCTTTACCCGGCCTATTGCTCTCATCCGTTCCAAACTTCATATCTTCTTCAAACCAATCTCCATATTCGTCTAGTTTTTTCACCCAATAGTCTGAAAAAAAGGCGTATCAAAAAAATTGGTATAATAAAGATTATTTTTCTCAAATAATATGTAGATATCAGTAATTACAAGATTCTTATCGTTTTATTTTTACTTAGCATTTAGTGGTGACTCCTGCGAAAAGAACACGAGCAAAGCTGCTGATTTTAAAATTTTAACAGAAGATTACAAAGCTTTGATTTGTAGGCGCTGCATGAACCTTATTGTCTATTTCTCGACCATCTTTGTAATTACAGTAAAATTGGCTACGGCGAACATTAAGAAAACCGCTAGATCCCTATCCAACAATAATATGTATATAATTACCAATACTGAATAAGTATGTACGTAAAAAGCTTAAAAAAAATGTGTGATACCTATTATCTCCTGCTTACTTCCTCCCTGTCCGCCATACTCCACAGGTAATATTTCAGGAGGGACGTAATTATTCAGTGTACTCAAATCCTTGGTGTGCATAAAGAGCTGAAAAGAATAGAATAATTTATCAAGTCAAAGAAAAATCATCTTTATTGAAATTAAAATATTTGGGTTTTAAAAATATTTGGGTTTTTTTACTGATAGCTACATATCTACTTACTTTTTTCCTATGTTTCTCGTTGAGAAGTTTTTTCGTCAAACTGAATAATTTCTCCAAAATCGGCACTCCGTTTATGATGTGCAAACTTTTTAATCTTAATGGTGAAGCATCCTGAAAAATATAATTCACAAAATTGTTATAGCAGTTAATTAAATCTGCATCTTGGGCTTAAGGGGTTTAAGTGCTAAATTCCTTAAATGCATTTAAACCTTTAAGACACTAAGTTGCAGAAATATTCGCGCGGTGTTCGACAATAAACCCTGTTCTATTAAAATAAGATTAATAACTCAACATCAATGAATCCCCTTCGAGGATGTTATAAAATTAAATTAACACAAATAAAGTAACCAGCCGTTTTTTGTCCGGACATATTTTGTCTTCTTGTCTTTGACATATTTAAGTATTCACCGGAAAAAATAGAACAAAGCCACGTGTACCATTGCACCTAACCGAAAACGACTGATAAAGAAATTAACCTCTTATGTTTTCCGCTATCTATAGCTTTCCATAGGTACCTATTTATTGATTGGCTTGTTAATCTAGTAGAAGGTAAGTGCAACTACCGAAACGAAATATTGGGTTGTCAAACTAATATTTTATTATTATTATTAGCGGCTTTGCCCGCGTTCCCAGGCGCAAAAAGCTGCCTATGTATTAGTTCAGACCATAATCTATCTCTGTTCCAAATTTCATCCAAGTCCCTTCAGCCGTTTTGATGTGATTGAGTAACAAATATACACACAAACTCACATATTTTCACATTTATAATATCGTTTCAAGCTAATTGCCACCACCGGCCTTACAGTTATAGTGTAAAGTCCACTGCGGGCAACTCAACATTTGACCTACTTATATTTGCTGTTGGTACAGTAACTGTGTCTAGGGATTGTACACATGATATTAAAGTATAATCCTACCAAGTTTCATCGAAATTGGACTACTAGTTTTTGCGTGATGCATGAACATACAGACAGATAGACACACAAAATAATTATTTTTTTCACCTTTTTTGGTTCGCTGTCTACTGTAACAACCCCTACTATTTATTATTTAATAATTTCAATGTACAAAATGTACACTTCTACAGTTTTCATGTATGTATAGTCATCATGTATGTATAGATTATATATTTAGATATACTTGAAAGCAGTCGACTTTGATTACGTTTTGTACCACATTGTGAATCAAATAGATGACGTATCTTGTGTCCTTTAAAGTAAAAGTAACTTTAAATTTATATTTCAATGTCTTAGTTATATGACATAGGATATTCTCAACAATACGTACCTGCCCCGCAATCACGAGCTTCTTCAATACTGTTGGTGTCATCGCCATTATATGAGCCATGGTGATTCCCTCAATGTCTATCACGTTTATAGTCCCATTCACCATAAACGCGTCATCTTCTAAATACATGATCTGTAAATGAAAATATTTTGTTATATGTGATTGTGTGCGTCCACGGGTGCATAGAGTGGGGACTCTAAGTGCCCATCCAGTGGCCTCAGGGAAGACGGTAGTACAGTGATCATGTGCTGCCGTGCAAAGCAATGATCAAGGGATACGCAGGTCTCCCTAAGGATGTGCTGTAACAGGCGTTGCACCGTGGAGACTCTGGAGCAGGTCTCTTCAGAGGACCCGGTGCAACTTACAGGTGCTGAGATTGGCCACCGGGGTGGTTTTAGTGCGGTACGAATCCAAAACTCCCTAGTCTTTTTCCCCAAAAAGCCCCGTAATAAAAAAACGCGTGTGTGTGTGTGTGTGCTCCCCACAAATAAAGTAAAAAATCTTATAAAGAAGAGACAGGCAGAGTACTATCTATCCTCTTACTCGTAACCCAAAGGTAAACTGGTTAAAATGACCATGAAGTTTATATCTATAAATAACTTTCATGTGTATAAAGTTTAAATCAAATAGGTTCTACTCTGGTATTGTTTTCGTTTTATATGTAAAACCGGGTGTATAGAATTCGAGTGTCGAGAGGGGAATAGATACCATGAAGAATCTCTCAATGCCTATTCACCCTACTTCTGTTTTTATTAACCCCACGAATTTTATTCACTCTGCTCTACGGTACCAACCTATAGTCTGAGGTTTTTCAAAAAATTGTAGGTATTTTGTGACACTTTAAAACTAACCTGTTGAAAAAGATGTGCAAAAGAGAAGAAATCGATTGGCGGAATCTCGCTCGGATCGTAAAGGCTGGGTTTGATGAGGATAACACGAGGAGACAGTGGGGTTGCCAGCTTCGGTAACACTAAGGCAGCCCTGAAATAACGAAACAAACATTATTTACACCTACTGGAACCTAAGTCCATCTGTTCGGAAGTTAGCCCGCTAAGGCTGTTGACTACTTAACCTAAATTCTACTCCACGACGTTTCGATTTAGAATTTATTGGTATGATTGTGTCTTATGTCGCCTGGTGTACATAATATATTATGCATAAAAATAATTATAACTATGTATTATATTTATATTACCTGTGCGCGAAAAATCTGCTTTTTCTGTAATCTTTACGTATCTACTTTCATTATATTATAGTTTCATATTTTCATATTATTTTAAACACATTTTCATTTAAAAATAATACAATTCGTCGAATAACAGTGACAAATCCATACATTTACTTTTCTATAGATAGACCTTCATGAGACTCCAATAGTAACGTCTGTTTAACATTTACATGTAAGGCAGGTGACCTATCAACAGTAACCCTGTTATACAAATGTTATACCTATAAACATTTTATTAAATAATATTGTTCGAGTGACCTTGACATTATTCTAGTTTGATAATAAGAGTATTAAGCGAAACATTGTAAGTTTATAGACACAATAATATTACTAGCCATCTCAAATTTAAGACAAACTAGTTTTGTTTAAACTAGATCAGTCGTATACGTGATAAAATGATCTGGTCTAGACCTAGACCAGACTAGATAATTTTAAGCTTGATAGGATAAAAATTCGGACTAGGTCAAACTATGTAGTTGCAATGTTATGACATTGCGAATACACGTGTCAGCGAAGCTATATATATATAAGTACACTTTTTTTTTAAGGGGGGAAAATCATCGAATGACTGCTCCCGCCTG